ACTTTAAAGCGGGACTAAACTGCAGTGGAAACGCAAACTGAGCCGTGCCGTACCGAGCCGTACCATGCAGTGGAAAAGCGCCATAAGTGAGTGTACGCACAAAGTGTATAGAGGTGAGTCTTTTTATCAGTGTAGATCTTCTTCAGATCAACATCTGCTCGTTTGGAATGTTTTTCTTCCACATCTCCATTAAGGGGGTTTTTATGTCTGAAGATGAAGTGCAGTTTGTAGTCCTCTCCACATTTGTCCGGCCCAAACATGATACTGTACGGTGTCCGGTCATGAAACTGATCCTGTGAGTCAAAAGACACACACATTACCCTTAAAATTTGTGATATCACTTATTTCCTTTACAACGGCAATTTTATATCGTACTGCTGTTCAAATCCAGTACTACTTACTATTTCAATGTCTATAAAATCTATTTTTTGTATTTCATGTTATGTTTTTATAAATCTGTTCTGATCATCTAAAGCAGTCGATGAACATACCAGGTCTAAATCTTCTGAGTCTGACAATAGCTTGATGTAAGCGCCGCCACAGTCAATTCCGTTTTGAAAATTGACCTCATACCTGCAAAGATTGGATTTTGTTAGAATGCACAATCTTTATTTTTCAAATTTCATAGAAATTGCAACTCAGAACCCCACTCACTGCACGATAAGGGGCTTGTCCTTAAATACGAACGGTCTGTTAAGCGGAGCCGCGATGGCATGGTGCTTAGCACGAGATTTCAGCACCAAGCCCAAATCACCAGGCACCTTGTTTTCCTTCAGGGGCTCAACCTCCCATTTACCTAGAGGCATGAGAGACATATAGAAACATGTTTTTAGAAGTCGGGTTAAGGATAAAATATATTTTTAGCATTATTTAATAACAGATAATCATAAAGAAACACTCAAAAATCAAATAAACCATGTTGGAAAACTAACCATCATATTTTGCAATATCTTCATCAGCATCCTCTTTCATTGTTTTAGACACCTGCCAACTGCAGAAAATAATAAAACATGGAAAAGCTAATAAATAATTAAGAAAGCATGCTGTGTGAATAGAATATATATTCAAAATACATTTTGTGATCATGAAATCATCGTTGATTGGACAAAATTCTGAGGAGTGCAGAATCAGCTATCAATATTTTTGGTCAGTTCGCCTGCAGAAAAGCTGCACATTTTAAAACGTGTATATTATTAGAATAATTTGTGCAATAAAAATCTGATTAAGCTTTACAAACCTGCTCAAATATTCATCATCAAACGTCGCAGTGAAGTACACCTCTCCTGTTGGAACTGGGGTCTTGTATGTTACCTACGCTTGTCAAATAATGCATATTTACATACAACACGGAGAAGCTCATAGCCCACGCTATTTTGTTTGAACACTAATCATGGAGAACTCTTCTGATACACATTTCATTATTTCGGATGAGAAATGTCCATTTTAACAAATTCTTATATTTTGAATGAATGGTATCTTACCTGAAAAGACACATTGGCATCTGCTTCAGTGCTTTCTCCACTGTCTGCCTCTATGTCCACATCTCCATCTTCCACTTGAGCCTCCTCTTCATCATCCAGCTCTTCTTTCTGGGCCCATGTTGCCATGGAGATGCAGAGTAACAAGAGACACGTCCAGCCCCACCGCAACTTCATCTACAAAAAACATGCAAAAAAGAGCATGACCAAAAGAAAACACCATCAAAATGTTATATTTTTCATTTCATTTTCTTCTTTGGGGAGGTACGTCTTATCTTATGACACGTTGACCCCGATATTGATCGACACATCTGCCATCAGAAGAGGATCTTATTGTTTACTGTTGTTTCAATATTTTACTTAAGGTTTTATTACATATTGATAGTTGCTCAGAACAGCAAATAGCAGACATTATGCCAGCAGAAAAAATAAGATAATTTACAAAAATTTAAATGCCATATTTTACATTTAATCACAACTGCCTCCAGCTCTTTGGTGTTTTGGGTTTTTTAAAATAACGTCATGAAGCTTCATATTTTAAATAAGATCATTTATAATATTTACAACAGTACATTACAGTATAATAACGCCCTCCGGCTAGCTGCGGTACCGTTAGCTGGGTGATGACGATGAAGATGATGATGATGGTGGTGGCTGTCTGCACGTTCAACGTTTATAGTGTTTAGCCAAAAGAATGTCTTTGTTCACTCACCTCCTCCAGCTGAATTAATATTTGCAATATTTCGGTTAACTGTAGCTCAAGCGGATGGGTTTGTCATCCAGTGTTTCGGCGCGAAGAGTCCGCTATGAATGAGAGCGATAGCCAGTGTTATCAGAAGCGCAGGATGCCACTGACAACCACCCCTCTGCGATAAAAACCACTTCCACAACACCTGTCAAAATAAAAGTCCCATTTATTTACGCAAAATAAAAGTCCCCATCATATATCCAGGCATCCGCTGAATCCGGAACCGCATACTAACCTACTACTTTTACCACATTGTTACATGGTAGAAATAGTAAGAGTAGAATGCTAGTACGTGGTTCCAAATTCAGCAATTATTTAGCTGCTGGCATCTGCTCACTTCCGCATCACCTATCAAAATAAAGGTCCCGTTTATTTATCCAACCTTTTCTGTCTTTATGTACCGTTTATACACTCCCACTTGCTCCTCTGACTACTGTGATTAAAAAACAGTAGTTTTATTACTCTATATGTTTTTCTGTATGTTTTCACAAAATAAAATCGGCTTATACATCACTTTAAAAGATTTAAAAAGGTCGATCTAATCACACCCATTTTTAAAGGCAAGAACTGCACTGATTCAGCATTCCGTTTTTAATTAACATGTTATGAGCTTAAAAAACTGACTTAAGAGTGTATGTTGAGTCTATATTATAAAAACATCCATATA